AAAAAAAAAAAAAAAAAACGATAGAGGATGTATCGCACAATGTGTTGTTTGGGCACTGCTGATTTGTGGGCATATGTTTGGTTCAGAACAGCTATGTAGGTTCAAACGTGTGGGGTATGAACGTCGAGCTGGGCTGTACTGGCAGCCCTGTATACTAAGTTCCTCTCTTGCAAAGCTCAGGTACTCGTGTTCAGAGGGAAAGGCTTGCCCTGAATTCAGGCGGGGCCCCAAAGGTTCTGAAAGGAAGGCCAAGGGTGGGGATGAAGAGCCAGTGGGATGCACTACGAGGTAGTTGGCGTTGGCTTCTTCTTGAAAATCATGGACCCCGCTACCTTTGGCTCGCGGTTCTAGAGTTGAAGGTACGCTGGCGCTTAAGGCCTGCAAGGGCAGTCCAGTAAGCACTGGTATCTGGATGTCAGTCAGAGGGCTAGTCCAAGTTCAACATAGTGGGGTAGGGTCCAAGAAGCATTTGGGATTCTGCGGGGGGGGGGGGTTGGATCTAAGGTTGCGACTGTGGGCCCGCAGTATGGGCTCTTAATCCTGGGCTCGTCATACACCTATTATACTCAAACACCCCACAAACCCAATCAGCGGGCCATAGTTTGCAAGTCAGGAAACAGGTAGGCGCACATGGTGAAGACCTTCGATAAGCGCAAAGGAATGCTATCAAAGTCGAACATCATCATGTCGGCATCCCATTTATTCGTGCATAATATGGAGATGCTGTAGTTTGCTGGTGGTTAGTAGGGAGTAAGGGAATATAGTCCCTGTATTCTATATTCCCCTATTCCCTACAAACCTGCAGTAAAGTACTGGACCGGGAAGGGCCACCGGGGAACAAGGCTGGCCGCAATAGCCTATAGAACACCACAGCGGGCTCTTCAAAGACTGCTGTTTAGGGTTGGGGTCCTTTAATCACGACTGCCCTCTTGAAAGGGGGAGAGCGGGTTTGGTCAGAAAACAACTAGAGGGTGGGAAGGGCCACTTTGAGCGACATAGGCAGGTCCGAGTTGATCATTATGGGGCTGGCAGTCCGCCTTCTGGTGCATAGTGAAAATCAAGCATCTACCTGAAGAATGTAATCCCTTCATACCAATGTTGAACACGTCTACCCCTACTATTCAATATGTCCCCCCCAATATATAGGTTTTCTTATGGAGACTACTTCATATTGAGGGTAGGGGTGGTGGGGTATTAGTTTGAAGGGATTACAGGGTAATTCTAGGTGCGCCAGCGAACCAGCGCGCCAGGACGCGACACGAACAACGAGCTGTCTAAATTGGGGATCAACCATCTGGAAGTGATGAATCACCATTCGAAGCCCTTGCATGCATCATAGAATGAGGAATCTACTTGTGCTGCCACAAGCTTTTTCTGCCACAGCATTTGCTCCACCTGGGTCATTGCCTCTAGGTCCCATGAAGCTAACACTGTTACATACAGTATCACAACTTCAGAGCAAACCACGCAGCCTCAGAGTCCATCAAGCAAGTGCTTCTGGGGTTTGTAGCTTAACTGTTTTGGGTTTGGGGTTGAGCCAAGGAAGCTGGCGTGATTGGGCGGACCTTCTTTTCAACTCCACAGGCTGATCCCAGTACCTGGCTTCACTGATGGTTGCCGGGCTTGGCGCGGGTTACTTCTACTGGGCTGTCCTGGAGGGTCTCCCCAGAAATCATGTGGTCTTGGATCTTGAAGTTTTTAATTGAGCTGCTCAGATCACCGTCATATCGGCTTAGCCAAATAATGTGTAGGACCCTTAAGTACAAGCTCTTGCCGAATAGCTTGCTAGCTCGGGATGCGTACTACCCGCTGTTGCCTTGAGGTTCGCTATAATGTGTTTTGGGCCCGCCTATTCAGGATCAGGGGTAATGATGTGAGGTCCGCTTTACAGTGTTTTGAATTTGGGGCCCTAAAGACATAGGAAGTTGTCACGCCTCTTGGTTTTAAGAGGCATGCCTTTCAACATGTTTTTCCATTTCAGCCTTCAGCTTAAGATCCAGAATCCAGATACCAAGTCCTAGGCCTGCAGACCGCCAGTTGTATTTGAAACGTGTTCTTAACACCTTAAGAATCCTAGCCGAAATCATTTGGGCAAACGGGTAGTCCAGCAGGCCTCTGGATCTGCTTTAATGCCTATTGTTTTGAGGTCCACTTTAATCTGGCAGCCCTGGGCCCCTGTCAGTTTTGGGGCCGCGAAAATCCCGTTTAAATCAATCTTCAAAGCCCTCAGAACCGCTGGAGGTTTTGAGGGGCGATATTGCGGATCCCTAATTCATCCTAATTCCAATTCTTCTGAGGGCCCTAGTGTTAGGGGTGGGGCAGCGGGGAGCCCAACACCAAAGCAGGCCCCACATTTTAATACTCCCACTGCTCCACTGCCCTAACAACCAGGGAAGCAAACAAAACAATCTGAACACTTCGTCACGGTAGGGTAGACGGCTTCCAACACGGAATAAGCACCCAGAAACTAACCGAAACGACGCTGCCCCAACGCTGAATCAAATCATGCCTGAACCGTCGATTCCGGACTTGAAGACTTGCGGCCAAATTGCTTGGCTTGAGCTGCTTGTAGATCCTGGAATCCTGGAAGTCCAAGCACCTCGGATTGCAGTGCACTGCTTCTGGTTATGGGTGTGTAGGGTACAGTGTTCCAGCACTCACAAACTCGCCAGGCCGAGGTGCGGATCAGCATTCCTCCCTCACGACCTTGTTGCCCTTGAGAGCGATCAGTGCGCTGTCTACGCTCGTGCCGACAAGGTCCAGCCCCCGAAGCTGCTGCATGACTCTGCCCAAGTGGCTTAAGCTGCCCGCGATTTCCTCGCTGTAAAGGCACAGCACCTCGAGGTCAGACATCCAACGTAAGGGTTCCAGGGTGCCGTTGATATAGCTGCTGCGGAGCACCAGCTTCTTGATACTTTCCATCGTCCGCAATGCTGAGAGGCTGCCACTGATCCCGTTGCTGTAGAGAACCAGTGTCTGAAGACCCCTATAGGGATTCCAGTGACTTATACTTTGCTGCCTTTGCGGAAGGTCCATCAGGCCGCCTGTGATCAGAGTGCTGTGGAGCTCCAGGTGCTGCAGCTCCTTCAAGTGCTGCAGATCCTTCAGACTACCAGTGATCTCCCTGCTGTGGAGGATGAGGTCTTGTATCTCCCTGAGGTCCTGCAGATCCGGCAGGGCTCCTGTAATCTTGCTGCCGTGGAGGATGAGTTCTAGCATCTCCTTAAAGGGCCGTAGATCCTGCAGGCTGCCAATAATCTCGCTGCTGTAGAGGATGACGTCTCGTATCCCCTCGAGGGGCTGGAGGTCCTGCAGGGCGCCAGCGATCTGGCTGCTGTGGAGCTGCACCTCAAAAAGCTCCTTCAGCGGCTGCAGGTCTTGCAAGCTACCCGTGATTTCGCTGCTGTGGAGGATGAGGTGTCGTATCTTCTCGAAGGACTGCAGATCCGGCAGGCTGCCAGTGATCTCCCTGCTGTGGAGCTCCAGGTGCCGCAGCTCCTTCAAGTGCTGCAGATCCTTCAGACTACCAGTGATCTCACCGCTGTGTAGGATGAGGTCTCGTATGTCCTTGAAGGGCTCCAAATCCGGCAGGTTCCCAGTGATGTGGCTGCTGTGGAGGTTGAGTTCTCGTATCTTCTTCAAGAACTGCAGGTCCTGCAGGCTACCAGTGACCTCGCTGCCGTGGAGGACGAGGTTTCGTATCTCCTTGAGGGGTTGCAGATCCTGCAGGCTGCCACTGAGATTCACACTCGTGAGGCTCAAGTCAGTCAACTCAGGAAGCACAGCCAGGCCGTCAATGTTCCCATCCAGATCACTGCGTATACCATCCAAGCCACGGTTCAGAGACAAGCGAGTCACCACGCAGCCGATACCACAAGTGATGCCAGCCCAGCGGCAATGGCCGGCCTTCTCGGCACTGCGCTCGAAGTATTCAAGGCCAACCCCGAGCCGTTCCAGGACTTGGCGGAGCTGTTGTTCCCTCTCTTTGCCTTGGAGTCGTCTATCTGAACGCCATTTCTTGCTAGTCGCCTACTTAGCATAATGACTGCTGTACGCATGTACATGCAGCGGACGGAAGTAGCAAAAGCAGCAAAAGGACAGATGGCACGTCGATTGTCTTTGCGTTGTCCTGCGTCAGAAAACTCATGTTCTTCTTGCATTCTGACCGATCTTACATGGGAAATTGGTGCTAACGGCCGCAGTCTAGCTTGCTTTGAGCTTTTGCATGATACCTACAGAGCCTTGCAGAGCCAGGTTACTAGCTCATTTGCGCGACGGTTTAAGTGGCGGACTTTACTCTTAGTGACTACCGGTGTCCGTAACTTACATTACAATGCTTCGAGCCTGTAGGGCCTATACCGCAAAGGTTCAAACCAAGCTGCATGCAGTATCGCCTCCTCCATGGCCCCGCCCGGCAACAGACTCTGTCTCCTAACAGCAGCTGTGCAAAGACTCGTACTTCATCATAAGCCATCTCCCAAGCAATGATAATAATCTCAAACTCTAACCTAAAAGACATGAAGAAGCCTGAGTGGAAAGAAGGAAAGGCATTTCTAGGATTCTAGCTACTTGGAGACCCCAGAGCAAGAAGCCCTTAGGCTTTGAAACATGTGGGGTATCCATGGAACCAGACTGCCCTGGGATCTAGGCCGAGTTGCCACCAGATCCCCTTCTTGCTCACGCTCCGAGGCAACCAGTAGCAAGGACACGAAGGCAGCCCAAAGCCGCGGCGCCATTGGACTTTAGGGTCTAGGTCTAGGCTGCTTAGGTGCGTCAGTTCTACCCACACCACCAACGGCATAAGAATAATGAGACGGGTGGCCAGACGCGGAAATGTTCTTCACGATATCAGCGTGAAGAGTGCTAGCAGCTGCTAGCAGCACGGGGATGGGTTGCGCACGGATGTCTTGGCTCGGGCAGTCAGGCACTCTGTGCTCAAGCTTACAGCACCTAAGGCGGGGGTCTTCAACTATGCGCTCCTGTTTGCATTGCTTATCAACATGCGTGTTTGTCTGTTGTTTCTGGACAGTAGTCAATAGGATCAGACTGGCGCAACATGTTCTCAGCGCTGAACACGTATCAATATTCGTAACAGGCTCGAGCATTAGCAATGTTGAGGAGAAAACAAGAAGGATGCCGGCGCTGCAGATGGTGCCGCTGATGTTACCACTCCTCCTCTGTTGTTCCTTCTCCTGCTGCTGCTACTGCTCGAACTCCTGAGCTGCCGATGCTGCTGTTGCAGCTCCTGCTTCTCCTGTTGCTCCTCCTGCTGTTGTCGCTAGTCTTCCTTCTCCTGTTCCGTGCCGACCACCGATCTTGCAACATGTGCAGCCTGGTAGGCTAATGTGGCTACCGTTCGAAGTCACTCGCCAAAAAAAAGACAGGTTGGTTAAAATGCCAACGAGCTTGCCAAATTCTATTTACGGTTTACAGTACTGTACATATGGAGGATACACTGGTCCCATAGAATGGCTGGTTTCCCTGGAGCGGTGACCTCTTCTTCGGTGCACCTTTATTCAGCTTCAACGTGGTAGACACGGAAAGTTGAAGGAACAACGAAGATCAACCGCAACAGGCAGTGGGTGGGGAGAGCTTTGGGGCCAATGTGCTGAATCGAAAAACCTTGAGAGAAAGTTTCAAAGGCGCTGCCCTCTCCAACGTGGCCTCGCTGACCGACCCCGGCTCCATGCTGTTGACCTTTCCATGCATCCGCTTGCAGTTTGAGTTTGGGGTGTAGATTTAGTGTTCAGGGCTCAGGGTTTAGGCAGGTTGCGGTTGAGATGTGGGATTTACAGAGTTTGGGCTCGGGGTTGAAAAGTCATGCCGCTAACTCTAAGCCACAAAATCCCTGCCGCCCCTTAGATCCTAAACCCTAAACCGCCTAAGCAAGTATTTGCAATTCTGAAGCCTCCAGCTTTCCTTCAGCCAATTTAAACCTCAAACCTCGCCTCCTGTGATTCGACAGCCCTGAGCACCTTTCGAAGGCTTTAGGCCCGGCCGCAAAGCAGCCCTGTGCCCCGGGTGCATGGTCAGCAAACTAAATGTTTAGGATTGCAGGGTTAAGGTTTGGGATATATAGGCTTGGGTTTAGGGCTTCGGGTTTGGGAGGGTTAGACTCTTTTGGAGCTTCGGTTTCTTGACTGACTTGAGACTGCAACCCCACATCAGCCATCCTGTCAAACCACATAAGTCCTCATTCGGAACTTTGTTGGCCTAAACCCCTGTGTAGACTCCAGACCAAGCCCGCCTGAACTTCAGTCGCTTTCGACATGACCCTTAATTCTAAAGTTCCTTTTTCAAGGGCTCTGCTCGCTTCATTTCGTTCCATGAATATTCGCACACGGACACACGCACTCGTCAAGGCTGTACCAGCTGTATCCTGGCCAGGCACAGGATGCTGGGCTGCAGGCGGATAGTCGAAGCCCTGCGCCTGTCTCCACAATCAGCCTTGCCAGGGGCTTGTGCAAGGGCTTCAAGTGCTGTGAGGACTAAATGAACATGTATTCTACAATGAACCTTCCAGGGTTCAGTGGGTGGGAGTTGCAGCAGTTGGGGCGAAAAAGTCGGAGTCTGTAGGATGTAGTGTTACGCTTACACTTCATAGCACAACGTGCGGGACCAAGAGCTTACGCTAGGGAATGAGAAAGCAGGATCTAGTGTCGTTAAGCAGCGCATAATGACCCCTCGACCAAATGCCTTAACCCAAAACCCTTCCGTTGGTATAGGGTTCTGCTGCAGATTATAACAACACGTTTACCAGGATTACAAAGGGGGAATGTTGGCAGTCCATCAAGCTTCTACATAAAACACGCTCTAACACACTATATCATGCCGGTTTCCATTGCATGTCCCTTTCTCTTTTCGTTTGACACTCCATGGTTGCTCCAGCTTCTATGCTAAGCCCAGGGCTCCGTACCCTACGCAATCGCAGCGCAGCCCTTTAGTATGGGGTAACCCTTACCCCTCTGAACTAAGCCTTCAATCCCTGTCCCTAGCCCTAAACCCTGAATCCTCATCCTAAACCCTGAATCCCGCACCCCCAACCCCAGATCCTGAATCCTGGTTGGCTACCAGAATGCTGGGTGGCACACCTGGCAGTGACCATCTGATCGCCAACGAAGGGGAGGCCTTAATTGTGACGGGGACCTTCGAACTTCAGGGATATGTTGGGATAATATAGCGATCATAGACAGGTCTCTATTGGGATTCTATAACGGTCTCTTATAATTTCCCATGTTCTTTCATTTTTTTTCGGCTGCAGTACATATCTCGTCATGATCCTGAATATCACTGCATGCATTGAGATGTTCCTTCAATTCGAGATGCCCTCGCTGTCGAGGGTAGAGGTGTCGGTTGGCGATCGGGGTCGGCAGGGTTTGATTACGACTAGGAAGGGGCCTACTGATGCGCCGAGATAAGGCAAGGGTTTGTTCTCTTTCCATGGGCGCGAATGACTCTGGGATAGACAGTGTTCAATCGGTTGAAGACGGAACTCTGAGGTGACACCCGAACCGCTGACACCCGAACCGCAACTGGCATCTTCGATGTGAACCATTAGCGCTGAACAGCTTATGAATTATACCAGTGATGATGATACTTTCATGGCATGAGTACTCTGATAAACTTGACTACATGTAAGATGATCTGATGGGGGCGGGATGGAACATAAATGGAGGTCTGCGGTAAGATTCCTGTGTGCTTGGAAATTAGGATGGCGAAGGTTGGCAAGATTTGAAGTAGAGGCCGGGGAGCGTGGCTGTAATCCAGGAAACGCAACAGTACTTCTTGGAGTGTACGGTTGTGGAGGCTGACATCATGATCTGCTTAAAAGGCTAGATGCCGCAGAGCAAACCTCAGCCACCCGCAGAGCTGCGTACGGTTTGTGGGGGCTGGCGTCGTAGTCTGCTTGGGGGGCTGGGTGCGGCCGCGGTGGACTTCGGGCATTGGGGTTCCTGCAGTGCGTTCAGACCTCTGGCGGGTAGTTTCTGAACCTCACGAAGCCCATGCCCGACTAAGCCCTAGACTGACAAAGGCACGGAACGTGACAATTCACAATACAGACTACAAACTACGTTCGATTGAGCTGAGCGGATAAACTGGGTCTGTTCGTAAGCCCCCGCAAACAGGATCATGCTGCGTTTGGAGCACAGAGGGCGTTGTGTCCCGTTCAATGTAGTTCTGGGAGACCCACTTAGCCACATCCTGCATCCTGAGTCCCTGAAGCCTTTGCTGCAAACCCTTCACCGAGGACTCTCCTGAACAGGGACAGCTTGGTCTAAGCCCAGCGCCGAGCATCGGCACCCCAAAATTCAACGCCTGCAGCCGTGACGCGCAGCGTGGTGCCCGAACAGTGTGCATCGCGCGAAAAATCAAACAATGGGGTCTTCTTGTTGGGAACAAATGTTGGGTGTTGAGGTTTATACAAGATGTATGCTCCGGTCTCCCCAAGCCCTGATCCCTGCAAAGATTCTGAGGAAGCCCTGCGAGGCCCCATACAAACCGCATGTGAGAGTTTCCAAGAGTGGGAGGTCCCTTTTTAGGAAAGAGGATCACAACATTGCGGGCCGTACTGAAAGGGGACTCCTACGTGTGGAACTGACCATATTATGGGGAGGCATGGGTTTTGGCAAGGTCTTGTCAGGTCCTTGTCATTCTAACGAACCAGGCCCCCAAACCCTACGTCTAAAACTCCAGGGTGCGCTGTTGTCGGGTGAAACTCTGAAATTCTAAAAAGGAAGGTTTAGGGCATGCAGGGTTACGGATAGGCTCTGAAATCCCAAGCCCTGAACCACACGAAACAAGCCAGCCAGGCCCCCGACCTCATGGACGGAGTTGAGGCCTGAAGTGGTTTTTCAGAATGCAAATTGTCAGGGACTGATGGTTTCTATGGCCTCAGCGTTGTTGAGATTTGTAAGCGTCTAGAGCCTTCGGTTTGCAGGGCTTCATGTCTTATAGGTTTCACGGAATGGGTTGAGATTTCGGAGGTTTCCAGCTCAGGGCCTGGCAGTTGATCCTGGGTTTGGGCTTTC